CGCATTATACGTGCATCGCACGCACTCATGCTTAAAGTATTCCCGCGTCTCCACAAGTTGAATCACTTGTACAAGAGTTAGAGGCGGACTAAGCCAACGTCGAGGAGCGGCGGGGGGAGCAGGGGTGGGGGGCGCTGTTGTTTGTTTTGAAATGCTGACTGCGATAACTCGCCACCTGCGCCCGCAGTGACGTCAGTTCCCCCATTTACTGCTTTATGCTCGAGAGATTGTGAGCATGGAGGAGGTTAATTGTCCAGTTGGGTGAATACTGACAAAGTCATTGACCCTTCACTCCATATTTATATAGTCCGGCTTGTATTACAAATACTTTCCAGCATTGGTTGGTCCTATTTCGACCACAACAAGCTTGAAAGGGGCACCATGGAGAGGATTTTAATTGCTCTGATGTCATCCTTTAAGTGCTTCTCTTGGCCACTAGGGGGCACATTTCATAGCACCTGGGATTGTTACGATAATAATTGAGACGTAATAACAGGCTAAGTAAAACTAAATCAAATTATGCCATCATGTTGCGGGAAGATTATAACTGTTAATCAGTGTGCAATTGCAACATCAAGAAGTCATAGTTGGAATGCTTGTCACTTCAGAATGTGGGTTTGATTTCCGGTTCAAAAATGAGAATAATTATGTTTGATGCGAGTGTTTGCACGGTACATCAATATCATCCCCAATAATCTATACCCCTGAACCAAAATGAGGTTATTAAAAGGTAGCTGACGACGATAGTCTATTGTCTGTTGGTTTGCAGCAATATATTATCAAATCATTGAAGCTTTATCTCGATTGACGTAATCAACCATCCCCCCCCCCCCACCCACCACACACCAAAAATGAGGACAATATAAACACAAGCACGCCATAAAATGCTTTTGTCCATCACGTATTGATCAGTCAACCAAGTCATCAACTGAACGCCCACAACAGCTGCAGTGTCATTATGGGGAGGATTGGAAGGATGTGCACATGGCGTCAGCCTGAGGAAGAAAGTCTTCAAAAAGTAAAAAGTTATCACGAGTCCTTAAGGTCCTGAGCAGGTTGAGAGTTGCAGGTGAATGTGGAATGAGATGTGCAGGTAGCCGAATGTTGACAATCCTCAAATAGTTCAATCAGTGGCATTTATAATTTCTTCAGCATCACCTTTTCCAAAATGTTCCACTTTGTCTTTGAATCATATTTAGAATATTTCTTGCATTGTATTGATCTTGGGTACATATGCCATACACAGTCATATTATTTGTGCAAATACTACTCGAATGTGGCAAGTATGATGCCATTGCCAGGAGCAAGGAGGGTTATGTACCTGAGTATTTCTTGGCCCAGTAGTAACTTCCTGGAGCCTTCACTGGTTGCCTGGCAACTGAAATGGTTTGGCACGAAAGTGTCGTAAACAACAAATTGACGTTTTACTCCTCCGGTATGGAATAATTGAGACACGAGTCGGTAATTAGGGTGCTGGTGGGTGGAGTCACTACTCTCGGTCAAGCCATGTTAGTCCTTTGAAGAATTTATGCTAACTTGGCTAACAAGCTAATAGAAATGTACATCAAAGTAATAGTCTGTTGGCAAAAGTGTCACCAAGTTGACTACAGTTTAACTAAAGCACCTCGGCTATAAGAACCATTCAAAATGTTCTGCTTAATATGATTCCTTTTTCTCCACGGTAATGACCAGAACTCACACAAATGCACCGCGGTCATGCTGAATTTGACTCTTTAATTGCAGGGTGACATCATACCTTTAAGCCCACGCCCATTTGAACATTTGTGGACATACGGGGTCAGTCATTGACCCATATTTGACCCTTTGGACCGTTTATATCTACGTCTGTGTGCCTTGTTGTTACTCCCAAACAGAGACACACTCTGCGGGAAAAAGACAATGAATATTGAGAAAAATGTCCTATACAGAGGATATGCATGTTTCATGCTGAGACAGCATGCAAGAGTTCAAGGGCTTCATATGTAACTACTAATTACACTGCTGTCAATTTAACAGCAACCAGAGGTGTAAAGCTTCAAACATGTACCACCACATCAAGTCTGTGACACAGGAAATTGGGTAAAAGCGCCTCAAGTACAAAACGACACTAAATTATCTAGTTTCATTTGGCATTCAGAAGTGCGGGAGTGACGGTTGTGGTTTAGGAGGCAGTTCACATTAGGACAGCAAAGCCTTCAGTTAGTGATGCAGCAAGAGTCTCGAAAGAGCTATGACGCGAGGTTGCTTAGCCTGAGAACGCGTACCGCGTTCAAGGATGATGGTGTCGAGATGGCGACTGATGAAATCGTGTGACCACTGACACGGTGTGAATATGAAGCTCTTACGAAATACACACGTACATCAACGCACAATGTTGAAGACCAACGCAACAGCAGTTGGGAGTGCCGCTATTTGGCTTTGGCTTGACTGCGACACGGAATATAAACTTGTGGCCATTTAAAATGAAAATCTTAGTATGTTTCGATTTTCATAACTTCATATTAATTCAGAGACCCTTTTTTTCTTCTTTGTAGATTTAGGTCACAACTTTATGAAGAAACAGACAATGATACTGCTGTAGTACACATGTCAGGCCAGTAGTTGGCAGTGTAACTAATTACTGTATACACTAGATAAATTTGTCATAATGGATGAAATTGTTACCATGGTTCATTGTGGATTATTTATGACCAAAATGTCTCTAAATTGTGGTAATTCGTGCTGTAAACATAACAACAAGAATAACATTTTAATCACTTAGATATCAATTTTCACCGCACCCACGGATGAACTCCATTCCATTATGTGTGTGTGCGTGGGGGGGGGGGATTAATTTGCATTTCTAAAAAATTGGCCAGTGTGTAACAAAAACCTTACCGCCTCCATGTCAACCGACAGGTCACCGCGGTAGCTAGCAAGTACAGGAACATCACACATCTCATAGATGACCTTCTAAATTGACTGCTGTAAAGTGAACGAGACTCTCATTGACAGCGAGCGCTCGCTTCTGTATCGAAAACGACTCAAAGAGAGCACTTGAGGTCATAAACCCCTTAAGATAATTAGAATGTGGTCGTAAATATACGCTCATTAAAAATAATGAATATGTAAGGCGAATTTCACATGTCAATATTCAGACCAGTGAGGTTAGTCCGTTAAGTTTACACCGTTTACATGTCTAAAAGCAGTGGATAGCTAAACATTCCAGCTATTTGGCAAGACGACTGACGATCTTGAGAGGACACGAACCAGCGTGTCGCTGTGTCGTTGTCAGTCGGCAGGTGTTGCCTGGACTGTCGCAGAGCCAAAGTCAGCAGTATCCAAAGTGCTGCGTCACATCCACACCATCTATTAATGCTCTCAACCGACCGCAGTGACAATACACGTCATTTGACGGCAAAATATGGCGTCATCGCTCGGTCGGTCGGCGAAGAATAGACGGCCGGTGTGCCAGCGTAATGAAACCATTTCGGTAGATCAGAGATTTTCTTAAAAGTGTTTTTCATGGGTCCTCGCTGCCAGTTTTGTCACTTTGTAGATGACTTGAGAACTCATTTATTCCCCGTGATTGATTATATGCCAATTCATTCATCTTGTGGAACACTCAAGGCTTTTAACACGTTTACTGTATTTAGAACATTGACGAAGCGGCTGGATCAGAGCTGGATATTCTCCCAGGCCTTGATTAATCAAGAAATAGTGCCGGGCAAGTGCCCAAGCCCGCCCGATTTACTTCCACGGATGCACAGCTGCCAGAGTGCAACTCAGAGTGTGTGAAATTCAAATGTCTATCAATAACCACTTAGCTGCTTTTAACTACATGAAAAGTATTCAGAAATGACCACGAAGCACGTCTTTTTTTTTTTTCTTGTCTCTTAGTTATGTGAAACCCCCTCGTATCGTTCTGTGATGACTTTCAGCGCTTTGCTTGATGCGTTCACCCGCAACAGCGCAGAGATGCAATTAGTGTTGCGATGCTTCGGGGAAAGCGGACCCCGGTCAGTGCCGTAGCGGGAGAAACTGAAACTATGGGGCCGAGGGGCTGTGGAGCCGGCCGGCTCTGGTTCGCTGGCGCCACATCCCCCTGAGCTGGTGAGAATGTGGGGGCTGTGCTCTTGCCTTTGAAGCTTTACCTCCCACTAATTCTGGCCTTCCAATTTCCACACGCTGCACAGACACCCCCCCGCCCGTCGTTCTCTTCCCCTCCTTTTCCCTTTGTTTCCCTTATAAGGAATGGCCCGGCCATTTCCTCCGCTTTTCTGTGGGAGGTGGTGCGCTTGTTTGTGAGCACGGACAGGTCAGGAGAATACGAGCATAGTTTGCCTTTTCATAGATGAGCAGCCACAGGAATCTCGAGCCAAGTGGATGAATGCATCGGTGTCCAGTGGGGAGTCTCGCCCTACCCGCCTGATGAATTGTCTTCTCCCTCGCGATTGTTTGATCCATCTAGCGCCAAATTATATTACATTTTGCGGGATAGGGAATGATTTTCAGAAAGTGAAATGCTAGATTTTTAGGTGTTGTTGAAACTATTCTAGCTGGTCAGGTCAAACACATCATTGAGAATGTCACGATGGTTGAATCATCTGACACAATTAAACTGAAGCCTTAGTAAACTAATACTTTGGGCTGTAACAAATACAAATGTGAATCAGAAAATCCGTTTTGATTTAAAAGATGCGATTGCGTTGAACCAAACGGTTCCACTTTAAAATATATCGAGATACGTATCGAATCGTCTTTCATTAGAGACGCGCACCCCTACTAATGCCAAAACAGGCGAGTGTTGGCATGTATTTTGCACACTGACCGCGATCGCAATATCGCATCAAATATTCTGCCTTGAACAAACGTGATAGTGATCAGCTTTCAGGTGTTCAATTTGAGCAGTACCAATTAATTTGGACTGGTGTAGAACCGTACTGATAGGAGCTCCGTATAATACCCAAAGTATTATACGGAGCTCCTATCAGTACGGTTGACCTCGCTTAGTTAAAATATGAACATATTTGTAAATGAAAGTCTTTCTGGCAGTGCCGACTAAAAGTGAACAATATTTTGTCAGTAAAGGCAGAATATTTGATACAGCTCAAGTACCGGGTCTCATCACGTCACGCAAGTAGTCATTAATTTGTCTGGTCAGTGCATGTTGAACATCCCGATAAGGATGCTGTCATGTTACCTCCAATGGAACCACTTCAGAATTAGTTGAATTTGCTGTAATTTGATGAACTGAACTGGATTTTGATTAATTAGCACACCGCTCTCTTCTCTCCATGTGTTAAGGTTCCAGATGGCCCATGGAAGAACGTGGATGAGGGCTTAGTTGTCGAGCAGGCAGAAGGCCTGTCTGTTGTTGGCTGGCTGATTAGTCCATCAAGGAGTGGCACCACTCTCCCCAGGGCGCAGAACGGACCAAGAAAAGGTTCAGCTCGCTCATCCCTGCCCCCTTTCCATCCTCACCCCCAACCCGGGCGGCACATACGCTCTGGACCATGTCTAGCAGGCTGTCCCAAGGGGGCCGGACTGAGGACCTGGAGCGGAGTAGCTGCAAACAGGACTCGCCCGTTATCGAACGCAGGAACCGCAGTGGCATCATCAGCGCGCCCTTGAACAGGAGCCTTAAGAACTCCCGCACCCTTTCACAGTACACGGCGGTCTCCTCCGCCGCCACCAATGGACACAAAGACAATCGTGAGACAAAGAGCCACACGGCCAAGCCTCAACCACCTCCGCCACCCCAGCCCACCGTCTCTGCACTGGCCGCGGCCAAGTTGGACCGGACCCTAGAACAGGTTCTGGAGGGACAGAATGGCTTGCTGCACTTTGCCCAGGCAGCCGCATTATTAAAGCGGGCCGGTATGGAGCACATGCTTCTGCCCGGGGGCATGGGAGTGGGAGTTGGCGGAGGAGATGCGGGCTCGGGGGCTAGCGATTTGGAGGGTACGTCTGTCACGGACGCCGTAGGTGGTCCTGTTGACTTCCCATATGGAGTAGGGGGCGGCTTCCCCTTCAACCCGGGCCTTTTCATCATGACGCCGGCTGGAGTGTTTCTAGCGGACAGCGCGCTTCACATGGCCGGCCTGACCGAGTACCCGGCGCAGAACGAGCTGGCCTCTGCGATCAACTCCGGCAAAAAGAAGCGAAAACGTTGTGGCATGTGCCCACCTTGCCGGCGGCGGATTAACTGTGAGCAGTGTAGCAGCTGCCGGAATCGCAAGACGGGGCATCAGATCTGCAAGTTTCGGAAATGTGAGGAACTCAAGAAGAAGCCCTCTGCTGCTTTGGAGGTAAGAAGGCGTGGTGGGCCCTGCTGTCATTTTCACCTACTTAAACTTAGAGATGTGTTTTCAAAGGTATTTTTCATCTTTGCAAAACGCGGTTATGTAAACCAACCAGCAACGCGACACTCATTTTAATCCGTTTTCCGCCTTGCGTAAGCTAGCACCTAAAACGACGACCTGCCATTGGATTCATGCGTTAATGATGAAGGGTTGGGTTCAGGTGAGTGGAGCAAGGAGTTGCGACAGGTGGTGTGCGCTCTGTGTACCTCGCCCATCGAATACCACCGAGTTGGTTCATTCACAGGCTGAAAAACAGCTCCCTCCATTTGGGCCATTTTCAGCTTGGTCACGTCCTGCTTACACATACATGGTAATATTTTGGCCAAAATGTGCGGAAAAAAAATGTAGCGTTAGTGGGTACCGTGAAGGTAATTGTGTACAGTGTATGTGTGTAGGTGTGCATGTGTGCGTAAGTACGTGCGTGTGCATGTAATGTGGTCCATCTGGCCTTGGAGCTGTCATCTGGAGCACCAGGTGTCAGCATGGCAAAACGTGCCCCCCACCCCCCACCCCGCACCTCTTTTGCTGCCCCTGTCCTTCTCTCCGGTGACACTCCTGCTCATCTAAATGGCCTCGGAAAAAAAAAAAAGAAAACGTACTGCCCTTTACCTCCGTCGCTCTCTGCGGCTTATCCAAGCATGGCTGCGGTGACAGAATGACCGATCATGAAATTAATTTTGGCAGATGTTCCAATCTAAAAAGAAAATGAACGGTCTTTATCGGTTGATGGGAGAATCATTTACTTTGTTGAAACACAAAGACTGCTTTGTTCCCGTGTGAAGGAAGCATTGCTTGATCACGGAGTATTTAATGAGTCTAAATAGGCATGATGTGGGCAAATGTGTCGGGACACCTGCCTTTGATACTTGCTGTTCAGGAAGTGAACACGGAAGAGTTGGTCTCCCATGTGGCTATCGGATCTTAGTGGTACTGTAGTTCATCCTAAAAAATGTTTTATGGCGTTGAGCTCAGGGCGCAAGTTCTTCTACAACACACTCATCCAGCGATGCATTTATGGACCTTGCTTTGTGCACTGCGGCACAGAAACTGGCCTTCTCCAAACTCTTAGCGCTACGCCAGTGAGCATACAAAAAAAAAAAGAATTAACATTCAGGTAGGACACTTGTTACTTGGGTTCAACCCCCGATTGATTGATCAATTAAGAAATGCGTCCCAAGCATTTTGCTTAAATGGTATATAATGAGTCTTGTCTTTATGGCGAGTGGCCCTTAAAAACGATTTGAAAGCCATTGAAACACGCATCTTCTCAAGCCACAAACAGGCTGATTATTTTCATATACTGTATGACTGTTTTACTGTAACTAGGGGAGGATTTAGTCTTAATTGATGATTTGCATTTGACGGGGTCGTGGTAATTAACCTGACGTTCACGCCAGTGGCGCCAGACCAACAAAGGCACTTGAATATTCATGAGCGCTGATGTTGATATGGGTCATCACGTAGCTCGCAACGTCACAGCCGAACGGCGCTTCAATTATATGAGATGGACTTTAATGATATCGTAAACCTGCACAGTTTAATAGTTGTCTAACCGCAGAAGTACGGGTGCTTATTCATTCATTACAGAAATCTATAATTATTTAAATGTCATTTGTCATCATATTCAAGTATACCTGTGAAGCATATGTTCCTCTTTATGTTGCATTTGATTTTAATGAGATACATTTAGCAGAACAATACTTTAATGAATGTTATTAAAGGATTAGGTTGTGTTATAATCCTCGACTAATGACAGAGGGGGAGGAGAAAAAAAAAACAAAACATCGTGTTTCAGGGCTGCACTTCTCTTACGTCAGCCCCGATGTTGTAAAACAATGTCACTGTCGTCAAGTAATTGAGCACCGAGTTAGACTAAACAGACACCGGTGTCACCCAAGATGAAAAATGAGGCTCAAGAGGGTAACATGATTGTGAGAAAGAGGAGAAACAAATTAATGGTGATATGAATGTGTCACATCCGCGCGTACAGAAAGCATCTGATGACCGACAGAAGCCGCAAAGTTTCATCCTTGATGGCGTAGATTTTTTTTTCTTTTTTAAGTGGGGCTTTGAAAAGTTCAGACACTTAAATCGAATATTCCAAACGGTTTTCTGATAAAATTCAAAAAAAATTACAAATCGCTACTCATGGTCACGTTTACATTTATAACATAGACGTGCCTCACATCATTATGCTGAGATGATTATACATTCATTCATTCATGGTCATAACAGCCCTCTGAGGGAAACCATAACTACAGTGCGGCAGGCGACGCAAATTAGTTTGACACCCTATTGATTATTCAATATTGTCAATGACACATGATTTATTTTTTGGGGTGGGGGGGGGGGGGAAAAACCACAGCGAATTAGCTGTGTGCATTAAATTTTAAGCATCAACCAAGTAGTAGGGAGAATCGGACCACCCGTTTTCATATCGACGGACCACTTGTTGCTCGAGGAGGAGTGATGTGTGAACATGAAAGCCAAATCTCTGTTCTCCCGGAGTTAAAAAAAACATAAGAAGAAGTTCTAAGTTCAAGATGTAGCGTTTCACACTTTTTATTTGTCAGCGTGTAGGCACCCCGCTGGCAAAACCTGATATTGTCTTAACAGGCTTTTGTTCTGAAGTCAACCGCTCTTGTCCTGCAGGTGTTCAATTCACACAACACGGCCAGTCATCAGCGCACGCCGAATGCCAAATGACGAGATGCATGACTGGTTGCCGCATTCGGGGAGAGGAGTCTGTTTTTATTGCCGCTTCCTCTTTACGCGTTGAATGCAAATTTAGGGTAACTAGACATCATAGGAGGGGAAAGCCATGTAAATATTGTTCTATTCTATTCTATAATCGCTTTTATTATATTGTAAAGTAATGGTAAAGTACACAGAAGACATACATTTACGACAACAAACACAAATAAAGAAGCACTTTGCCAAGAGGTTGGGTGCTTACTTAACAATCACGAAAGTAGCTTATACAATACTTAGTTACAGTCCTTACTGTGACAATTGGCGAAACCATAAAAACTGACCTGCAATGCGTTTCGGGCCTAGGCATCAAGTTAAGGAAACTGTGCATGAAAGTACCTGGACCAACATCTTTTCAACCAACAGGAAGTGAGATAAGAGCAGCTCCCACGCTTCTGGGAAGACTTTATTCAAGACTCGTCAATTTGTCCTGCACCACATTGTCAACTTCACTGGAGAATCCTACCTTGTAGTATCTGACGGGGCGGGGGGAGCTATTAAAAATTCATAATGGCTGTCTTGCAGACTAATTTTCATACATCGACAGATAACAAAAGATTTACTTGGTTGTGTAGTTCCGCATTTGATGGGCGGGCAGGCATCTCCGAGCCCCAACTATGAATATAAAATAAATTAAAAGCCTAATTTCCATAATATGTCCCCTTTAAGATTCAGGGGGAACTAAAAGCTGAAGGCCAAGCCATAACAAATGGATTTAGTTAGACCGTTATTCCATTTGTATTTAAGAGTGTGATCTATAATGAAGCACTGAGATAATAATGACTTGGCCTCAAATCGCCGAAACAGACCTAAACTCAAAGTTAACCTTGTGGCAAGTTGTTTGCATTTAATTCTTGACATTTTTTTTTTTTTTTTTACGTGGTTTCCCGAAACGTCGCAAGCTGGTTTTACCGCATTTGCATGAAAAGGTTGTTGCGCGCGCCTCCGAGATCCCTCTCGGCATACGCGTCGATACACAAGCTCGGTCCAGCGAGCGAGGCGCTTAATTTAAGGGTGTTGACGGCGGCTCAAAGAGGGAGCGTAAAAATCAGCAAGTGAGGGGGAGTTTGCATGCGGAGGCCTTTGCCACCTCGCCGCTCGCTGGCGCAGAACGTCTGGATTTATTCTGAGAATGCAGCGTTTGATAGAGGCACGTGGGAAGGCAGAGCTGTTGGGCTTGCGTTGTCGATCTGAAAACCCTTCAGTCGCGTCAGTCTCGGCAGTGGAACTTGTCACGATTACATGAAGTAACCTTGTGGTGGTTCATAGAACGGCTTTTTGGACTGAGACTACAGTTGCACTGTTCGGAACCTCTTCCTCATGGTTATAGCCTCATGAACTTTCCTGCACAAAGACACATGTGGGACATGTGGACGTGTTGGGAAAACTGCTAAGCAGACTGAGGGATGAGTTACATTAGGAAGAATCGACGAGAAATATGGTTGTGAGGAATAATGGAAATAATCCGTTCTAAGGGCAAACTGTTGCAATAATAATTTTTAAAAAAGGGACATTTTAACTTTCTATGTTTACGACTTGCACGAGTCACTCGGTATTTCTTATAGTAAAAAAAAAAAAAAACTGGATATATAAATACATTTTCATTGCAGACTCGCCTCACCCACACAAAAAAAGAACTCGATCACCATTAAACCCAAAACAACAATCCACTCCACCTTAACAAGTGACAACGGCAGTCGTATTGATTTTGGTCAGCCGCACGCTGAGCAACAATGCGTGCAAGGTTCCGCCACTGGTTTTCACGAGAGGCCGTCGGCCCTTAGTTTGGCTGCGGTTCTAAATCCGATCGCAGGTGAGCGGCGTTCGGAACGTCATAGATGTAACAGCCGCTCAAAAACCCCGTGTCATTTTCATATGAGGTTTCACAACAAAAATTATGTTTTGTGGGTATAAAGCCTTACTCATTTGGCGCGGCATGCTTTTGTGAACGCTTTTTGGAATAAGTGTTCTAAAATGGAGGTCTTGCAAACGGATTTGGAAATTATGTGGAGAGAAATCTGAATTATATGACCTCGGGTATGTTTCACTTGAAACCTAGTTTTGGTACTTAAAGTGTCCCTAATGTTGTTATCGATGAGGTTACATCCATCTGATAAATAACTTACGCACACACAAAGGGGAAATTCTACGATCATATTCCCGGAGGCTGTTGATGAGTAGCAAGACAGCTGACAGCTGGCGGTCGATTTGTGTTTTTCTTCGCTCCTTTCTGCTCATTGTGAATCTTGGGCAATGCTAAAAGTCGAATTCACAGTGGCTAAAAGGAATTTCTATGCGTAACATGCACTTTCCTGCGAAATGTCATTACAAGTTGAAATTAGCAATGGCTATTTTCTTGTGATATGCTCGACAAATTGTTGTGCTATGCTAAGACAAATGTGTTCATCTTGTTGGGGGGGGTGGGGAACCATCGATTATAGTGATTGGTTCACTACTTCACACCCGCAAATCCCATCTGCTCGAACCGGTGCAGTCAGCGATAGCGACAAACAGTTTTTTTTTCTATTTTCTGCCATTTCTCATTGATTGCACACAGTTAATGAGGAAATACAGCAGTTAAAGTTCATCTGATGAATGTGTTTTTCTCGCCGCGTATTACGACGCTCTAAATCCAGACCTTACCGGCTTTTTGACATCCGCGGCGGCGCCAGATGTTGCTGCTGTCCTCCTGGCTGTCTCACCGGCTAAGTGCTTCTGTGGAAAGGTCGTCACAGAGAAACATGAGGGGTTAACAACACAGACCATAAAATGATTCGAGCAACATGCTGCCTCAGAGTCTTACCTCACGGTTCATATTGACCATCACTTTAGCCAGAATTAATTAAGATATTGTTGGGGGATATTCTTTTCAAACAATTGACACAAACAAAATTATTTGCCCTATAAAATGGGTTGCATTTAAGTGAGGATGATTTGTGTGAGTTTAGAGTAGCTTCCCTCATTTTCGTTGGACCTGCTCAGATTTCTGGGTTGTTGCATTGTGTCAAGGTGAATGCCAACATTTTCATCACCGAGTTTGCCAAAATGGTGTCATTTTATTCAAACGAAGCCTATTTATAAGCAAACGTTTCAGGCAAGTGTATATGAGTAGAAGTATTTAGGACCAAAAATTAAGAACTGGCTGTAAAAAAAATGCCATGTAACATGAGCTAAACACACGTATTAGCCAAATAGCATTTTCTTTTGTTGAACATTTGAAAGAATAAGTTATCAAGTATCATGTTTACATACATGTAAAAAACTCGTGAAATCAGATTTTTGTGAAATAGATGTAAGACTTACAGGTTTAGCTAGCTGAACATGCTAGGCTAGCAATGTAAAAGCATGTTTTCTCTCCAAAATGATCTGAAATGACTATGTAGAGGGACTTCGTTTTTATTCACCATTTGAAATGTGATTCACAAACATTTTAAGTAGTGCAAATGTGTTCTTTCTGCTCATTGTTGTCCTAATTGTTCTTACCTGCTGGCTGGAGCTGAGTTGGACAAAAGGACCCGAGCAATGAGGAAAAGGCTGCCTTTGTATTTGCCTGAGTGGCTCTTTATTTTAACAATTTTTCTGAAAGATTAAATCAAATGATTAGTACAGATATCATTCCATGTCATTGTACCAATTATATTTATAGAACTGCCAATATTTTAAGTTGTAACATTAAAGCAACACAATTTTGGATCAATATTTATTTCCTTCCAAATATAGTTAAGTGATGTTTGACGAATGGACAATTTCTTCGGTACTCAGCCTGAAAGAAAGTGTTCTTTTTTTTTTTTTTTTAATATCAGCAGTATTTGTACTGTTAATGGTGAAGATAAGCGGTTCAGAGAATGGATGGGTGGATGAATATTTTTTTTTCTTGCAATTTGATTATTTTTTAGAATCGATCAGCCCTCGTGTGAATAGTGTAAATCTATATGTCCCCTGCAATTGGCTGGTGACCAGTCTTGGGTTTATCACTTAGCAACCGTCAAGAAGTCGTTTCACCTGCAATTTAAGGTCAACATGCAACACATAATAATATATTGGAATGTCCATCCATCCATTTGGGTTATGAGTGACCTGGGGCCTATTCTAGCTGACTACTTTAGGTACGCTACACCTCGGGCTGGTTACACTCGCCAGCCAATTGCAGAGCACATAAACACCACCGCCATTCACATCCACACATACCATTCAGTTCATTTCAGACCAGATTTGGAAGCTATGTCTCAGAACAGTGAGACAGATGAATACGAGAAATTGAATTAACTCATTTGATTTTAGCTGTAGATGCAAAAACGTACACGTTTGGGATCTTGATGTTTAACCATCTTGAAGTAAGGAGAGTTTGAATGTTTACAGTTGAGATCACATGGAAATGGAAATCTGCGAATGAGAACCATGTGTCAGGTCTTTCACTTTGTTTTTGGTAAGCAGGTGTGATTGAACGCATGGCTACTCATCATTTTATTTGCACGCCGAATCCTTAAACTGTCCGCTGTCGAATGTGATGAAAAAACAGGGTTCTGAATGCATCACACATGAGATTTTCTCACTGTATGGTGTGACTTCAGGGGTGTATTATCATGCCAGCGTGTGGAGGTGTGTGACTGTACTTGAATACATTTTGGCTTTGGTGTGAGAGTGCGTGTGGGTGCAGGAGCACTTCCTGCCTCGCTCCGGACTGAGCGGGTGACTTAGACTTTTCCGGACGCCCGCCATGTCGATAGTGTCTTTGTCCGGCCTGATTGGCGGACCTCTGCTCGGCCTTGCAGCAGTGTGCGTGCGTGCCACTCCTGTCATGCAGATAGCCACAGCGAGGGATGGCGGATGGAGGTTGCGGCGGTGACGGAGAGTGGCATCGTCATTAATGATGGCGTGGGAGTGCGGCGCGTGTGGTGGCTAAATAATAAATGTGGCCTATCGGTTTTTGTGTGAAGCCTTTTCCTGCATCTAATGGCTCATACACATTTCACCACTCACCCTGAGAGTGGCGTGTCATTTAGAAACCAAAATAGCAAACAGGCAAAGGTTTCACACTCTAAATTTGGAAATCTGAGTGCACTCAAACTAATAGAAACAACAAAATTAAGTTACAGTAATTCAGAATGTGAAAAAAAATTTAATGTGTAGCTCCAAAGTCAAATATAAAAGCAGACACAAACAAAACAACTCATCACCAAAAGAACGCCATACAAATGATGCGTGGCGATGGCAGCATCATGCTTTGGGGCTGTTTTTCTTCAGCTCAATGTGGGGCCTGTGAAAGGAATTATGAACAGTTTGCAGTCAGTGATCGTTCATAACCTTTATGCAAAAACAATGCCAGGAAAAGCTTCCTAGAACATCTGAGCTGATATGGGTTAAATCGGAGGCAATACAGATGGTGGCAGGTGTGCGCTGACTCATTGAAAAGGAGTTTGAACAGACAGGGCCACATCTCAGTGAAAAGAAATTGCATTAACTTGTGCAACCGCAGTATTTTTGTGGTTTATTTTTACTTTCCCTCTTGAAAGGAAATTTCGTCATACATTAATGGTGGAAAAAGTTTTGAATCTGGGTCTCAATCTTTCTATATCACAAAGCATGGCATTTGAACAGGGGTGTGTAGACTTTTCAAATCCACTGTTGGTAAATACAGATAACCCATCCTGTTAAGTCAAAGATAAACAAATGTATTTTTTTTAGAGCTGCAAAGGTGTATTTTACTCACGTTTTTTTTAAAAGTCACAATATATATATCCTTAAGTACATACTGTACAAAGTGCACTTCATTTCATGAGTAATATCTAACTTCTTTCTTCTCGCCCCTCCCCTTCTCTTCTTCTGTTTTTTCCAAGAAGGTGATGCTTCCTACCGGAGCGGCGTTCCGGTGGTTCCAATAGGACTTCGCCTCAACTCCGTACCCAAAGCTCTGCCATCAAGTGCAATGCCAACTCTTGGATCGTCTCCGGAAAACAGACACTGGCTAATAAAATAAATGACAAAAAGGAAAAAAAAAATGCTACAGAAAAGAACAAAAACTAAGCTGAAAAAAAAAAAAGATCTGTGGGGTAATGGATGCGCCTACTTATTCCTTGAACCAAAAATGAAGCGTAAAGAAAAGCATCTATTAAAAGTCCCTTTTCTATGTTTCCATTTTGGTACCTTTTGTCCTTTTTCCAGCAGCTTTTTTTCCATGTCGCCTGAACACTGAACTGTTTATTGCCAGAAGCAGAAATGATGGGCCCCAGTGTGGACAATCAACTAATTTCTGTGTTTGGTGTTAATGTTGTTCATGTGTGGAAAGATACAGTACTTGTGTAGAGAATGTACTTTTACAGCTATATATTTTAAAACTAGTGGCTCATGGCAAACATTCTTGTAATTCTCTACCATCATGTTACTGAGACAATGGTCTCATTTGACCGTTGACAAACAACAAAATGGTTTGGCAACAGATTTTCACATTCGGATGCTGTAAAATTCCACAGCCAAACAGGAAACAGAAGCTGAGACTCCGCTGCAATGTCGTCCGTCATCATCAGCCCTCATCTGCATTTCCAAACTACTTATTTTGGCCCCTACTGAGCATGCCCAATAGCATGCTATCCGGCCGATAGCACTAAGAGACAGCACTTGCTCTGAGTCTACCCTACTGAACGCACTGAGACAAGTTTTTTTTTTTTTTTGGTATTTGTTTCTTTGTTCTATTTTCATGATTTTTTTTTTTTTTTGTTACGTTGCCGGGTAGCGGCAGCTCTTAAAAATAACCAATCTTTGTATTTGTTTAGAAAAATGGACTGGTTTTTGTGAATAAAGAGGAATGCATGTATTTGTGTCCAATGTACAATTGTAATAATTTTTAAAAGACTGACTCATTTGAACATTATTTTGTAGTGCAGTAGCACCTCTAAAGTCTAGCAAGTCGATATAATTCCAAGTTAGGGCCAATTTTTTTTCTGGAAAGAGTCACACAAAATCCAGTTTATAAGCCATAATCAAAGTTGAGGGTATTACATTTAAATTTTAAATGGAGTCAACAATTTATTAGTCTTTATTTTCATGTTAGTGGAAAAATAAATTAATTAACTATTAATATTGAAATTTAAACGACTGTAACTTTGATAGTAATGAAGATACGTATGTCTGTACATGGACCTGCAGTCTAATTTGAATAAGAGTCAGCTCATCTTGTCATTCTTATCATCACATGATGAGAAATAAGACCGCGTAAGTTTAGAGTCTTCAATGAACCTGTGGCAGGCATGCCAACCGCTTTCGCACTATGCTGCCGTGTCTCAAACAGTCAAAAGAAAAAAGAAATTGCAAGTTAATCCTTTCATGCTCGTTGAGTTGGGCGAGGTCTCGGGAGGTATGCTGAGGACTTGCCGGGGGTTCGGACTTCAAAATTATGAACGGCTTTACCTCTTATCCTGAAAACTTTGGAATTTGTACGACCTCGGGCTTGTCTGACTTTAGAGGCACCGCTGCATTTCATTTAAGGCTATGTTGAAGAAACCGAAAGAGAGTGTTGCCTGTTTAGTTGTACACATGTGATGCATTAACCGAGTCAAAGAACTAAAGTTGGGCTAAGGACAAGTGAAAAGCTTCAACATGTGGCCAATCTCACAAGGGTCTTAGTGTAATTACTAATTCTAATGACTCAGGTCCGTGACGCCGGGGTGAGTTTCCATTTCCTTTTAAGTGATGATTCTAGCTGATGTTTTTCCTTTTTGTTTTGTTTTTTTTGTTTTGTTTTTGTTCTTCTCAGCTCCATAGCCCCCCCCCCCCACTCTCTCTCTCTCTTACACACACATCCAGGTAGTGATGCAGAGCTCTGCTGCAGCCATGGTGCTGAGTGTTTTTAATTAGCGCACATCCACGGTGGAAGGCCCAGTATGGCGTACGAGCTCGTGATCAGCTTGGCGAGCAGGGAGTTGGAGAGAGTGGCTGTATCCCCCCGGGGGGGGTAGTGCATGCGTGAGTGCGTGAGTTGTGTGTGTGTGTGTGTGTGTGTGTGTGTGTATCTGGGGGGGTGGCTGAGGCCTTTCATTATTAATGTGCACCGCGGCGTCCTTACCTCCTCTGAGCCCGCACAGCTCACTGCCTGACCTGCCATCCAAGGGAGATGGGAGGGGGAAGGGGGGGGCGTGAGGCGGGGCTGAGATAAAGAACGAGTCGAGGAGAAAGAAGCCGCGTGCATGGCGCAAAAGCGTCCAACTTTAAAGAAGAAATGAGTTTTACCTTAAGAGCACAGACGGAAAGACAGGAGATGCAAATGAGATGAATAATTAAAGTCTGAGGAGGATTTTAGGTGTGTCTGCACCTGCTTGCTGAGGTGTAGCAGGGGTTGGGTGTGTGTGTGTGTGTGTGTGTGTGTGTGTGTGCGTTGGGCGGTTTGGGGCTATAAGTGGGTAGGTCAGGCGGTGGCGGCTGCCTCCATGCAAAGAGGGCGTTCGGCTCGGTGAGCAAGCCTGTCACACCGGGAAAATCCTGGAATCTTATCAGCGCCTCGCAGACACTGAGCCGCGCTGATCTACTCACCCTCACTGCCAGCAGACGTGCCCTTCCCCCTACCCAAAGGCCCCCACTGCGCGGGCCGGCCTCGGCTCGTCGCACGGAGAGATAGCAAGAACCGATGTGGTCCAATTGTTGTTGGGGGGGGGGGATGTGGCTTGTAAAACGTGACTTAGACGGGAAAGGAAACGCTCAGGCTTTCAAAGTTAGTTGAGCAAGATGCTCGAACCTTCGGAAGAATGGGGAGGGCACCTTGTTTGACTCCTTTGTCATTACGTTTGTGTCGTACCGTTGCCTACGAGAAGCATATATTAATCACTCTTGCAAGAAAACATCACAAATTAGACATTAGACATACATTAGACTCTAATAGTGGATCATTTAGAGTGTTCCGTGCATGTTTTTGGAATGTGGGTGGAAACCGGAGTACCTGGAGAAAACCCAAGCAGGCACGGGGAGAACATGCAAACTCCACATAGGAAGGCCGGAGCTGGAATCGAACCCTACGCTTCTGCACTTTGAAGGGCGACGTGCTAACCAGCCGGAGTAAAACACACTTTCGATATGAATGTAGGAAAATGGTCGCCCTCCCTATCACAAGTGCAGATTCCATTCACATTCATTTTCGCACCTAGGGGCAATTTAGAGCAGGGGTCCCCAACCTTTTTTGCCCCGAGATCGAGATTTCAACCGAGAACCAGTTGACAGAAATAAAAGGCAGAAATGATAACCATATGCGCCGCCACAAAATACATAACAATAAATAAACTATATTGGTATTACGCTGAAAAGGTATTACTGGTACTTTTGTAAAAAAAAAAAAAAACCTTCCACCCATTTTCTATAGCACTTGTTCTCATCATATAAAATAGGCTACCTATTTCAAGAACTTGCTCAAAAAATACCCATCAGCCAACACTTAACTTGTTTTATGAGCTTACATGAGGCTTGTACCAAAAAGCGATACAAATTAAATATGTAGCTTGTTGTTAGTTAGTTAGGTAACATTGACTGCTATCAAAACAATAACGTACTGGCATAGCTGTACTAATGTCGTGAATGTAACAACCAAAACATCTTGTTCAGTATGTTCTTTTTCAGACAAGATGGGCAACTTTTGAACACAAGAAGCGATCATGTGTTTTCGGCTGGCACAAGATGTAACACCCTTGTCACAAACCATTTTTTTAGCCGGCAACATCAAACGATTCTCGTAAATTTAGCCATGGGTGGAGCATATCTTCTTTCTCGGAATCTGTTGCTTTGGTCCCTGGTTCATGATCCTCCGTATTGCGGCTATATGTGTTTTTTTCCCTCCAATCTTATGGACCCCAAGATCTCAATCAATTGATGTTCACTCACGGTTGACTTTACCTCTCTCTCTTTGTTTTTTAGTAGAATAAGAAAAATTAATGATCTTATTATATAAGGAGTAGAAAATACAGATCTCATCAAATGTAGGGAGGAAAAACATAATGTCCTTTATAAAAAATAAACACTTAACCCTGGAGAACCCACAGGGTCAAATTTGGCCCCTATAAATTCTGCTACTCAAATGCTACCCATAAATCCCAAAGGGTCAAATCTGGCCCTAATCCTAAATTAGGATTAAAGCATTGAATATTTGAAAATACATATATTTTTTGTGTTCAGTGAACATATACCAGTCATTTAATGTATAATTCATCATTTTCCAAAGAAGAAAATGGTTATTGGGTTCTCCAGGGTTAAATATGGAGTATAAACTCCATACAGGAGGCCTTGGAACGCCAGAACTGTGCGGCAGACATGCTAACAACGTTCACCCATTTTAACAAAATACTACACTACGAAGATAATATTTGAACATCATTTCTGCACATTCAGAGCTATTCATGAATCCGTAATGTACACTGGTCCCGATGACATACCTGTTAACTTTTCGGAGCGCCAACCTGTATAAACTACCAAAAAAATCCTTATAAAGAGCAAAAAATCCTTATAACATACCAAAGCATTTTATATGTCAAAATAACGGCAGAAAAAAACCCACGAAATATGAATGATATATTTGTTTCCTTGTAGAACTTGCTTGTACACTACCGAAGTATGCAATCTTCTGCACTTTGAAGGGCGACGTGCTAACCAGCCGGAGTAAAACACACTTTCGATATGAATGTAGGAAAATGGTCGCCCTCCCTATCACAAGTGCAGATTCCATTCACATTCATTTTCGCGCCTAGGGGCAATTTAGAGTATTTAGTGTCCATTTAACCTCAGCGTGAGATCGAGATTTCAACCGAGAACCAGTTGACAGAAATAAAAGGCAGAAATGATAACCATATGCGCCGCCACAAAATACATAACAATAAATAAACTATATTGGTATTACGCTGAAAAGGTATTACTGGTACTTTTGTAAAAAAAAAAAAAAAATACCCTTCCACCCATTTTCTATCCCGCTTGGTCTCATTATATCCAATGGGCTACCTATTTCAAGAATAAAAATACCCATCAGCCAACACTTGACTTGTTTTATGAACTTACATGAGGCTTGTACCAAAAAAGTGATACAAATAAAATATGTAGCTTGTTGTTAGTTAGTTAGGTAACATTGACTGCTATCAAAACAATAACATACTGGCATAGCTGTACTAATGTCGTGAATGTAGCAACAAAACATGCTAAATTAGCTAACAACCAAAACATCTTGTTCAGTATGTTCTTTTTCAGACAAGATGGGCAACTTTTGAACACAAGAAGCGATCATGTGTTTTCGGCTGGCACAAGATGTAACACCCTTGTCACAAACCATTTTTTTAGCCGGCAACATCAAACGATTCTCGTAAATTTAGCCATGGGTGGAGCATATCTTCTTTCTCGGAATCTGTTGCTTTGGTCCCTGGTTCATGATCCTCCGTATTGCGGCTATATGTGTTTTTTTCCCTCCAATCTTATGGACCCCAAGATCTCAATCAATTGATGTTCACTCACGGTTGACTTTACCTCTCTCTCTTTGTTTTTTAGTAGAATAAGAAAAATTAATGATCTTATTATATAAGGAGTAGAAAATACAGATCTCATCAAATGTAGGGAGGAAAAACATAATGTCCTTTATAAAAAATAAACACTTAACCCTGGAGAACCCACAGGGTCAAATTTGGCCCCTATAAATTCTGCTACTCAAATGCTACCCATAAATCCCAAAGGGTCAAATCTGGCCCTAATCCTAAATTAGGATTAAAGCATTGAATATTTGAAAATACATATATTTTTTGTGTTCAGTGAACATATACCAGTCATTTAATGTATAATTCATCATTTTCCAAAGAAGAAAATGGT